GAAAATTACAAAGTTCATTGTTGTACATGTAAAAAAATCTTTAAACTCTTTATCAAACACTCAACCCATTTTATAAAGCCTTTAAACTCTTTAAATAATCAAACACTCAGACGCTCAAACACTCAAACAAAACATTCAAACACTCAAACACTCAAATAGTCAAACACTCAAACACCACAATTTTCGCTATGTCTCAAACACCACAATATGTGATTTCCGCTCATCTAAACGGTGAAGTTTTCGAATGTGAAGTGTTGGGATACAATTTCAGAAACACGGATGTTACAAAAAATTTAATTGACAGAAGGTCTAATTTTTTACACCTGAAGTCAAGAATCGAAAAAAAACTGCAATGTGGTCCAGTTGGGCAAATAATATACAAAAACCCAGTATTTTTTGGCGGACCTGATTCATGCAAATTTTTCCCTTTAAAGGTGCGAGACGATGAAGACGGGCGTAACATGTTCCACAGTCACGAGTATTCTGGGTTCTCCGATATCGTGTTATATGTTACGTTACAACAACAACAACTGTCTCAGCAACTTGATTCGTCTCAAGTTTTTTGCGATGAGGAAGATGAACACCCTGAAGTCGATGTCGTTGACGAAGAAGAAGAAGCAAATAAAGTCACTGTTGACGAGATGGTGAACAATCCAGAGGATGAAGTTCAACCTGGCAATGTATATTGTCCACCTCAACACATGACTACTATCACCTTAGGTGATGATGAACCCTCGAGGGATGTTTTCTACAACCCCAACTACACAACAGGGGGGCAACTAAAAGAGGGTGACGAGTTTGGTACGAAAGAAGATTGTGCCTGGGCTATCAAACAGTTTCACATGGAGTTTTCAGCCGACTACAGAGTCGATCGGACAAATCCGACGCGATATACGATCTATTATCGTAACGAGGAGTGCCTGTTCCGATTAACAACATTTTTCAGGAAGAGAAGCGATTCCTGGAAGATAAGGTCAATGGGTCCGTCCCACAGTTGTATAATTTCGAATCCGATGCAAGACCATCGCAAACTCAGCTCTAAATTGATTTACGATGAGATTATGTCGGTTATTAGCGACAACCCGTCTTTGAAGGTGAGTACCATAATTGCACATATGGTACAAAGGTACAACTACACTCCTTCGTACCGAAAAGCCTGGATTGCCAGGACTAAAGCGGTTGAAAGGGTGTTTGGAAATTGGGAGGAGTCGTACAAGGAACTTCCTAAATTCCTGGTGGCCCTTAAACACTACTCGCCAGGAACTGTTGCGATATTGGAGACGATGCCTGCTTGTACACCAGACGGGACTTGTGTTGTTGGAAATGGAATTTTCCACAGAGTCTTTTGGGCGTTCGAACCATGCATCAAAGGGTTTGCATTTTGTAAACCTATAATTCAAATTGACGAAACATGGTTATACGGGAAATATAAGGGCATACTTCTCATGGCAGTGGCACAGGACGGGAACAACAACATTTTTTCAATAGCCTTCGCCATAGTAGAAGGGGAGACTGCTAGGGGTTGGAGTTTTTTCTTAAAAAACCTCCGCTCTTACGTGTCTCCACAACCCAACTTATGTTTGATCTCCGATTGACACCCATCCATCGAGAGTGCATACAACAACCATGACAACGGTTGGCAGGATCCTCCCTCGACCCACGTCTATTGCATAAGGCATATTGCCCAAAACTTCATGCGGGAAATCAAGGACATGACGCTGCGAAAGAAGGTTGTGAACGCGGGATATGCACTAACTGAACCCACATTCAGATACTATCGGGACGAGATCAGACTGAACAACGCGGACGCATTAAGATGGATTGACAACATTGATAGGGAGAAATGGACGCGGTCATACGACAATGGGGTGCGATGGGGTCACATGACAACTAACTCCGTCGAGTCAATGAATTCTGTTTTCAAGGGAATCTGAAACCTCCCAATAACTGCCTTGGTAAAGGCAACCTATTTTAGGCTAGGATCGCTCTTTGATAGCAGACGTACAAAGTGGGGTTCGGTATTACAATCGGGGCAGCTGTATAGCGATACTTCAATGAAATTCATGAAAGAGGAAGCTGCCAAAGCCAACACAGACGTGGTCACAATCTTTGACCGTACAACTAGTTGGTTCAGTGTTTCCGAGTCTATGGATCACAACGAAGGAAGGCCTAGGGGATGTTACCGTGTTGAATTGGATAAGAGCTGGTGTGATTGTGGAAAGTTTCAAGCATTTCGTATGTCGTGCTCTCATGTCATAGCTGCATGTTCCAAGTTGCGCTAGGACCCAACCAACCTTCTTTCTGCAGTTCACCAAGTCATTAGTCTATGCAATGTCTACACATGCAGCTTTCAAGTCGTGGCAAAGGATGACTATTGGCCTGAATACGAAGGCGGAATTGTTTGGCATAATGACTTGATGCACAGACAAAAGAAGGGTCGGCCTAACAGCACGCGCATTCGAATTGAGATGGATACCGCAGACAAGCTGGTGAGATTGTGTAGTTCGTGTCGGCAACCAGGACACAATCGAACAAAATGTCCTAACGTAGGATCAAGCAGTAGATCATAGTTTCATATTTAATCTTGTCTCGTTAAATCAATATCAAATTCCATTCGATTAATAACAACTTTTATAAGATTAATAGCAAATTTCATTCGAATAATATCAGGTTTCAATCAATTAAAATCATAGTTAACTGACAGAACAACAACATGACAACAAAACATTGCGCGAAGCCAACATAAATTAAACAAACATAACAACAACGTAAAGACCTAAAACAGAACACTGCACCAAAGCGTCTACGATATCACGACCATCAACTTTATCTTCTTGGGTGTCAACATCATCACAAGGACACCGGCATCATTTTCCACTTTTCTCCATTCACGAGTAACTCCGTTTCTCCCGGTCTCCTCTAGCAGCCTCTCGATTTTCCTAATCTTTTCTCCTGGACCAATGTCTCCTTCTAGCCAGCGGTTCAGTTCCCTGTGCAAGTGCTCCAACGTCTACGTATTCTAGAGGAGCACCTTCATCGGAGGCTTTGTTGGTGAAAACACAACTAGGGCATTTCTTTTCATTAGATCGAACGTTGGAAAAGGTTCATCCGATGCTGATAACGACGACGAAGAACGTTGATTTAGAAATGCAGACATTCTAGACTTCACTCAACTCGAACTGCACTAACACTTTAGTCTTTTGGGATATAATGTTGTGAAAACATACATGTGTTTGCGGTCGTATTTATAGTAAAAAAAACAGTACGTACCCTATATGATATGACTTAAATAACCTTACAACATTTATACACTCAAAATTTGCTCAACACTATATTTTTATTTTGTATTTAAACCAGTTTAAGTTTTTTGTTTATTAAATATAAATTTATTAAATTAATTAGAAATTATTTTTATTTAAACCTAATTATTGTAAGTTTTTTAATTAAAAAATAAATTTTAAGGTTAAACCACATTATTGTAAATTTATTAATTCAAAAATTTATTTAAACATTTAAATCTAATTTTTTTAAGTTTATTAATAATATTTATGTTTAAAAAAAAAATCATAATTCAAAATATAAAAAAAAATTCGTTTTTATTTTTTTAAAACATTAAATGAATATAAAAAAATAATCAAAATATAAAACCAAGAATGATGGATTTGGAAACCCTAGCATTGCACTGATTCGCCAATCAGGTTGACGCATGGAATCCCCACAACACTCATTCGCCAATTCATCTGGCGAATTCATGCTCTCCAAAATCCACTTTGAACTCATTCGCCATTTCAAATGGCGACCCAAAATTGATTTGTTAGCCATTTTGGACAATTTTCTGAATACTTGATTATTTTGATAAATTAAAATTACTACTTGGTTATTTTAAAAAAATATTTCCGTTTCCAATGCTTCATCAGGTATCATTTTCCTTCTTAATTTTATTATTTAGTTTTTATAGGTTGCGAGAGGGACATAAAGAAAGTAATTTGATGAGCTGGGATAAGTGTGGAAGGAAGTAGGAGAAGGGGGGTAAGGGATAAAAAATATGAAATTTTTTTATATGGCCTTAGTAAAAAAATTGTTATGGAGAATTAAAAATGAATCAAATGGATTATGGTATAAGGTTTTAATATATAAAACGTTTGAAAAAACTTGAAACAGCTATTAGACATGAGGGTCTTATCAAAGACAATCAAAATGTTCATATACAAGTCAAAGAAATCATTCATAATTAAATTTAGAAAAAAAAAAACTATGGATTCTCACTCCCACATTATCATTGATATTATTTGCAAGAAAGTAGATTGTTGAACGAAATGTTGTTGCTTTTGGTTTGGTTGTGTCATAACTTGTGAACAATTTATTATAATGTTTATGATTATGTAGTATTTTTTCTAAAATTGCTTCTAGGCCATGTATGGATAATATTTCTGTATTATTTGCTGGTTTGACTATTAATGAAATTGTGCTTTTACTATTAAAAAAAATTTCAAATGGTTCTACCATAAAAGATGCATATCATGTTTTACTGGAAAGGTCTATTATTGAAGAGTTTCGTTATAGTAAGATGGTTTTTGAGTAAGTTAATCCCACATAATGAGTGATTCTTATAAACTTATTTGTATTCCATTTCATCTCATTTTATTCAATTTCATCAATCAAAATATATCATTTGACAAGTTCTCTCTGTTAAAATATTTTTCCACTTTAGTTCTATGTGCTTCATAGAAGCAAAACAAAATGAAGCAGAAATAATATGCAGAAAGAAAGAACCCCTTACTTTCCGAACAACAAGAGCGTGTATCAGACAGAATTATCAAATGTAACATCGACTATTATAAACCTATACCCAGAATTATCAAATGTAACATCGACTATTATAAACCTATACCGTTTATGATGATAAAACTAATTGCCAAAAATATATCAATTTAGACAACTTGAAATCGCGGAGAGACAAGCATAAAAGCCTACCATAAAATCAGCAACACGGGGTTCATTCACCAACCGCGCTTTGTTAGAAAATCTTTGGTTCTCTTTCTCATACGGGTGAAGACAATAACTACACAAGCCAAGATCCAAGGAGAAAAGTTCCCAGAAGAAAAGTTTAATTTCTTCATCCATTCAGGAGTATCCCTAGAAACTATTACTATCATGAGGGTTATTAGTGCTACCCCGACCAAGATCCTGGTAATTGGTTTAAGTAGTGAGTCCTGCAAAAATACAATTTTTCGGTAATTAGATGCTTACATCCCACAACAGTTTTAATGACTGATATCATTATTGAAAATTCAAGAGAAAAAAAAATCGATCAAATTACACAACTTGTTATTGTACAAACACGATTTTAAACTGCAATTCTAATCCCTAGCAAAACCTGGAAAATGAAAAAAGGATTTCCCCCGAGCTTTTGAGAAAGCTGATAATTTTCCTTTTATTTAAATTATAGTAGTTCATTGAACACTTGTTGATTCCTATACTCCTAATAAGGATTAACATCTGAGGCAAACATTGTTTGATGGTTTCTGAGCTAAAGTGATTATGCATATTCAAATATTTTAGACGATCACAGAAGTGCTCTAAGTTTATATGAAGCAAATACAAATGTGTCTCTGATTCTTCCATCAACCAACGACAAGCAAAGTTTACAAGAGTACAAATGCCAAAAGGCCCGTGGATTTACTTTTTCGAGCAAAACAAAACAAACTATCCAAATTGGAAAAGCCATGAAGGAAATAAGCATAAATGATGCTTGTTATGAGGAAGAAAGAGCAAAAACCATTTAGTGCATAACTCAATGCTTTTGAGGGTGTGGGTTTCTTTTTGAAGTTGTGAAATCTAATAGATTCAAATTGATGGCCGAGGCTATAAGAAAATAAATATATGGTCTTCCATTAAGCTTTACATAGCTTTAAGATTGTTAAAATATACCCTTTGATGAGAAAATACAACACCCAATTGGATAAACCAGTACAGACGCCAATAACCCAAAATAGGGGCTATAGTCCTACATACACCTAACATACCCAAGAATAAAATTTACAAATGACTTCTCAATTTTACACTATCTATGTCACACATGTTATCTATGTCACACATGTCGATTTCCTTGCAGTTTTCAGTTGATATATAAAGGTTGAAATACACCTATAATCAGTACCAAAATGGTAACTTCCTATGCCTAGAATCAGATCGCATTGATTTATTTACTAGTATCACAATTCTAACTACATACACCTAACATCAGTTTATATTTTGATAAACATATAAAATAAGCAACCATATTCTTCCGGTGTTTCAGAGTATGGTTGACTTCCAGGGTTTCAGAGGCACTGAAAGGACTTAATATCATCAAAAATATGGTTGAGTTGCACACTAAGAATGAGGTAGTTGAAAAAAAGAACGAAGAACAAGGAAAAAGAACGAAGAGGGTAATTGATTGACTATCTTTTTTATCTGTTACACAAAATATTAAAAAATAGTCAATTTTCTTAATCTTTTTTATCTTTTTCTTAAACTGATGCTAGGTGTACTAGTAAATAAACCACTGAAAAAATATCATCCGATTCTAGACGTAGGAAGCTACCATTGTGATACTAATTCTAGGGCCAAGTGAACTTCAGCCATTATTTATCAACAGAAACCTACAAGGGTAATTATAGGCTACGGCGTCGCTTCATATTTAAGATGAGTTTGGCTTCATATTTAAGATGAGTTTGGTGTCCAACATGTGTGGATTTCCAACACCAATCACATTCAATAACTTCTAATTTCTCCCAGTGTCCTATCTTGCGTTCGGGTTAGTGTTTCTTAGCTTACTAAATACTCCAACAACAAACAACAATCAAGTCATATCCTACTCAGGGTTTGTTACATGGATCAATCCAGAACCTAACATTGTGCCATATATCATATATCTATCCACTCATTTAACATAAATAGAATTCCTAAAAAAAATCATAACTCAATATAAAACTATATAAACCTAGAAACAAACAAGCATAAAACAACCAAAAAAACACCAATTAACAACAAAAAAAAAGAACAATTTCGAAAACAAACCTTAGGTTCTCCATCAAGGTAAACAACAGCACCATCTCTATAAGTCAAAATCGACCTTCCATTCCTAGGGTTAAACCGAACAGGAACACCACGAACACGAGTTTGATGATTAAACGCAAATAAACACTTGAATCCATGTTTTTCGAGAATATCCCCAATCTCAATCTGATCCTGTTCCCAACCTCCCAACGCCGATTTGAACACAACAACCGGTCCTTTCCCCTGCCGGAATAAATGGATCTCAACCTCCGGTACCTTTGTACGGACGTGCCTTACGGTGTCGTTTTGGTGGTCTTGGGTGATTTCTTCCTCGATTTCGCTGAGTAAGGGTGAATTTACATCCACCATGTTTTGATTTGATTCTTCTTCTTGATGTTGTTACACTCTGTCACTGTTTGTTATGCTGTGGATCGATGAAAATGTCTTTCACTTCCTTCGTTAACTTCAAGTTCAACTTGTACATATGCTTAGGGTTGAGCAGAAACCCGACCGTCCCAACCTAATATAGATGGGATGGGTTAGGGTTGACCCTCGGATTATCCAACCCGTTCTAATATTAAAAATAAAAATCTAATATTATTTATTTATTTATTTAATTTATTAGTATATTTAAATTATTTTAAATTTTCAATAAATTTTTCCACTTTTCACCTCATAATTTAATTTAATATATGTACTAAGTAAATACTAAATACACATCAGTTCTCTTACATCATATTTTTTATTTTATATCTTCTTACTATGCTTTAGGGAAAAAAAGTTGATGACATATTATCAGAATTTTTACGGGTTTAAGTACGGACGGGTTAGGATCATTAAAATAATCTGATCAAAATTTAGGACACGGTCAGGGTTATTCATAATCCATCCCGACCCGTCTCTTGCTCACCCCTACATATGCTATTCTTTTTTAACGAGAACGTGATTATTTATTTTATTCTTTTTGTGAATACCCAAATTAATGAAGATATTTTTTAATGTCTATTGTTTATTTATTTTTTTCTGTCTATTAATAAAATAAACTCGTGAGGTGAAGAAGAAAAATAAATTTTTAATATATGAAAATAAAAATTGTCTCTTAAATAAAATCAATTGTCAAAATAAAATTTTATTATTATATTTATGTGTTAATTTTCTTTCTATATTATTCACTAACCATCAACGAAACAAAAATTGAAGAATATAATGTATTAATTAAATTGGTATAATTAGATGTAACAAAAAAAATTGTATTTACACATGTTGTAAAGATATTTCTATTAACTTATAATAGACACACATTTATCTTTTATTTAAATTAGTGATATATTATCCTGGTTAATTTTTTAAATTGATAATTGAATAAAATATCAAATATAAGAGTATGGATTTAAATCCACCACATTTGGGTGAATTTTAGTCTAAATTATTTGACCAAACCAATGAATGATATATTCTCTCAGTACATAACTGCTTAATCCACATCTTTTTTTAATTAAACTATTTATCAAATTAAAATATATTTTAAAATTTTTTACTCAAATAATTCAATTTTTTATAAAAAAAAAAACTCCAAAATAATTCACCTTTTAAAATTATTCTCAAAGTATCTCGATTAAGGTTTGGGATTACACAAGGGTGCTAGATGGATTGGCGACACCTTGTTAAGGCTATAAGGGAATCGCCAATTGGATTGGAGACTCCTCATGCAGTCTCCAATCCAATTGGCGATTTGGTGTTGAACTTACAAGGGAGTCGTCAATTCATTTGTAGACCCCTTGTATTTTGAAATTTTATTCTATAAATAGAGGTGTTCTGATCATTTACTTTCACATTTCATCTGATATCTTTGTTCTACTAATAACATGTATCGTCGTCGGTGGAGAAAAAGCGTTTATTCGAGAGAGAAGCCTCTGATGGACATGTTGTTTTGGAACATACAAAGTTTCAATCAACTTAAGTGGGAGCTGAACCGGTGGTTGGAAGGAGACATTGGTGAAGGGGAAAAGATCTATAATATCGAGAGACTTGATCGACTGCGTGGATGGGTTCGTGTTAAGACAGACAAAGATGCGAGGGAAGTCATGTTTGGACCTAATGAAATCAGTTTAATTGTTGTAATCAGTTAGGAATGTCGTAATCACCTAGTTAATGTTTTATGTTTTATGAAATTAGTATGTGTTGTGTGTTGTTAGTCTTGTTTGTTGTTAAGACCGTTGTAACAAAGACTCGTCAATATATGAAAATATTTGGTTACAACAAATGAAATGATAAGCTAAATCATGATGCAGATGTGCCTCCGACATTGGGACATTTTTTTCGGTTGTGTCCAGGCTGACGACATATACAGCACAATCTTATCATTTTATCAGTCGTATCCATTTCGGTTCTTATATGCTTACTGTTTGGGCGTCCCTTTTTCTTTCTTCGCATGGTATCGTTGTGCCAAACTACGTCACCTTGGTATGGAGGCCAATAATCCTCCATTGGTAGCACTGCAAAGCCTTCGTTGTATACGTTCATAACATTAATCGCCTTGTAAACATCAGATAGATAGCCATAAGCATCATGATGAGCATGTGTGCATGCTGCAATGACATGTGAGCAAGGTACACGGAAGACCTGGTACTTGCCACAGTCACACCAACATCTGTTTAGTCTGAAGGCATAGGATAAATTAGGTCTCCCCTCATTATGGTCCATTATTTCTTGTACACTGAATGTTTGCCTATGACGATCGAAGATTGTAATTGCATGTGTGTTGGCTTTGATAGTATCCTCTTTCATCAATTTCATAATGATTTAACTTAATACCCGACCGGACGTTAACACTGCACTCCATCTCTCGCCTCTTGTTGCGAAAAGTGATGCCAACCTATAATATGTTGGTCTCACCAAAGCGGTGATTGGAAGGTTTCTAATTCCTTTGAATACCCCGTTCATGGATTTCACAAGGTTTGTCGTCATATGGCCCCAACGACATCCACCATCAAAAGCCCTTGTCCACTTTTTGAGTGGAATGTTGTCTAACCAGCTTCCTGCATTTGTATTTGACATATTAATTTCGTTAAGGTAGTATTGAAATGTTGGTTGAGTTAGAGCATACTCGGCATTCACAACTTTTTTGCAAAGGTTATTGTCTTTAATTGCACGCATAAAGTTTTGTGCAATATATCTAATGTAATACACATGGGCAGAAGGAGGATTATGCCACCCGTTATCATGGTTATTGTACGCATTCTCTATAGCAGCATGCCTGTCTGAAATCAAATAGAGGTTGGCTTGTGGAGTGACATGTGTTCTGAGATTCTTAAGGAAGAAACTCCAAGCAGAAGAAGTCTCACCCTCAACCAGAGCAGAGGCTATGGGAAAGACATTATTGTTACCGTCTTGTGCAACTACCATAAGCAAGGTGCCCTTGTATTTTCCGTAGAGCCATGTTCCATCAATTTGAATAACAGGTTTGCAGAATGCAAAACCTCTTATGCATGGTTGAAACAACCAAAAAAGACGGTGAAATATGACATTTCCATCAACAGTTGTTCCATCTAGCCTACATGCAGGCATTGTCTGCATGATTACAACAGTTCTTGGTGTGTATGTCTTTAGCACTACCAAAAATCGTGGTAATTCTTTGTATGAATCCTCCCAGTTACCAAAGACTTGTTCAACAACCTTTGTCCTTGCAATCCACGCCTTCTTGTACGATGGAGTATAATTATATTGCGTTACGATATGAGAGATTATTATACTCACCTTGACTGAATAACCCTTGTTAACAAGCGGCAAAATGTCTTGACATATCAATTTTGCGCTTAGATTTCGGTGATCCTGAATAATATTTGTGACAGTGCAACTGTGAGGTGGCTCTATGGAAGTTATCATCCAAGAATCGCTTCTCTTGTTGTAAGATGCAGCAAGCCGAAACTTGCAAAGTGGATTACGACAAATAATGACATACCTTCTCGAATCAGCTCGTTGTACATTGAAATTAACAGATTTATCCATGTGATATTTTTTAATGGATCGTACACAATCCGCCTTGCTACGAAACTAGTCTCCAACTTTTAACTCATTCTCTGACCATCTATACAAGTTATGAAACATATTTATGAATCTCTTATCGTCTTACAAGTCCAAGTCTGTCATATGTTGAGGCGGATAGTATGCCTGACCTGGAGGTATTGGTACTTGTTCGTCATCTTCAATATTGTCGTTCAACAATTCATCTACCAGCGTCTCACTTCCTTCTTCTTCTGCATCAACGACGTTGACCTCTAGTTCTGTTTCATCTGAGTATTGTGATTCAGTTTCATCTGAGTCAAAAACTGTTGATTGATCGATGATTTGAGACTGTTGAGATGGAATATTTTGTTGGATGAACGTATACAACTCAAAGTAGTTGAAACCAGAATGTTCGTGACTTAGGAACATATTCTCTACATCTTCGTCGTCTTGCACTTTAAGTGGATAAAATTTAACGTGGTTGGTTTCAAAATAAATCGGGTTTTGAAATATTATTTGTGCTATAGGACCGAGCCGTAATTTCGATTCCAATCTTTCTCTGAAATGTAAAAAACTTGTGTTTCTATTGACTGTCAAACGGACAGTGTCGGTGTTTTGAAAATCAAACCTAGATACATCAGAGACATATGTCTCTCCATTGTAGTGGGCGTTCACAATATATTTGGGTGCAGATGACATACTAAAAGAACTAGTAATGGACTAGTAAAATTATTTCTATGAGTATTTGCATGCATGGGAACATATTTATATTTTTTGGACATCCATTAAGGCGCCATATTAATTGGCGACAAAGACAAACTAATTAATTGAAGATGTCAACTCAATTGACGACATCTAACATGCATTTAATGGAGTCGCCACCTGCATTGGCAACATGGTACAACTTTAATGTTGTTTGTTGTGTTGCACCCAAATTTTTGACCCCTTAGATCTTCATCATCATCTTAGGATCATATTCATTTGATTATCTAACCTTAACCCATTTCAAGTTTGTCTTTGTTAAGATACAGGTGAATTAGGGTTCTGTACAACCGAGAATCGAGGTTTCAATGGTTAATCAGTCAACATATTGGATTGATTCTCCATGAAATAAGTTTCCATATCATCAAAAATACTCCATTGGATCAAGTATGAATCCAATTTGAGGTTGTCACCCAAGGATCAAGAACAATGCAGTTTAGGATACCCGATTAGGATTTTCGATTAGGAAAAGTCAACTGTAGTTTGACTTTTGATTTAAATGGTGTTCCAATGGTGGGATCATGGTCCATAAAGTTCATATGGTTTAGTAAAGTCTACTCAATAAGTTTCAAGGCCTCAAAAGACCCGGAACACCATCAGTC